GGGGGGGGGGGAAAGTGGCAGTAGGAATTCTGTCATTGGTATATGGAAAGTTTAGAAAAAGAAATAGAAGAAAGTAGGATAGGAATTAAGGAAAGGCAAAAAGATTAATATCTGTGTTGAAATGTTTGGTATCGGATGCACTGAAATATGTGTATTTCTCAGCTTCAAGTACCTTCCCAAAAAGTATTTCTTTCTTAAATAGACTGTCTTTAACAATGACATCTTGGAACTTATTATTTCACAGTACGAGTCACAGGCTCTTGGAATATAAACACATTTCAGTCCTTAACCTCATAAATCAATTATTTTTCATGTTTTACTTTTCAAATGCAAGAACTACAAGGCAATAGTTGTCAGAAGTGCCTGAATAACACCACCTGACATGCAAGTTTAGTACCAAAACAAAGTCTTCTGCCTAAACAATTAAGAACTAAATCTTATCAGCTGATAAGAGTAATGGGCTTTTATCCTCAGTTTAAACAACCCATGGGAGAGGGACCTAGCAGACAAGGAGTGTAGTATGTAGATAACACCTAGAAGAGATGCAGATTCCATTTTAATTCATCCTTCTTTATAACAAATCATTTTCTCAAGCAAATCTGTTTTGGGCTGCATTAGTTAGGGTTTGGTCTTAGGTCAAAAAGAAATTTTATCAAGTATTGGCAATATGAGTAAAACCAGTTCAGCTATGTTTGACATATGCCAGTTAAAATATAGCAGTACACTTCTGTATATTGTCTAGTTCAATTCTGGCATTATAAAATAACAAATATGGGAAAACTGGAAAAGCTAGATGTTGCCTTCACTTGATAGCAAACACTAAAACAGTGAACACATCATAACAGAGGTTTAGTACTTTAAACAGTACAACTGCAAAAGTCAGTGTTTTCCTTCAGGAAGGACTTGCTCATCAATAGCACCACATATAATTAACATGGCATCTTTAGTTAAGGACATGGCACTATTGTGATTCGGCCACATAGCCTCTTAACAATATTGCTCCACTTCCCCAGCACGGTGCACTAGCACTACTGGAAAGCATGGGTTTCAACTATGTCTTTCAAGTGATTCACTACTACCATTTCCTTCCCATGCTTATAAAAAATTAAGCAGGAAATTAAGTACAAATCTAATATTATGAAGCAGAAACCGAGTAGTCAAAATTCCAATAATTAAGGCCTTTACCACAGAATTAACTCTGCCATGTGCTATTCATATAGTGTGTCCAGCTACTGTTTTCTTTGGTACTTTGTGTTAATAATTCTATTTCACAAAAAATACATCACAAAGGCACTGCTACATAGCTGAGCAGAACCAGGTGCCAGCTCTCCGGGACATGATCCAGCAAGCCCTTGCTCACAGAAGTGCAGTCAACAAGCACTTGAGACAGACCTCAGCTCTCACATCTAATTGTAAGCAAAAAATAGAATCTGGGTTTAGAAATGAACTGTTTCAGGCTTCAACTCAGCAAAAGTATTTAGACATCTAATTAAATCCATCTCTATTCTGAACAGCATTTAAGCAGACTGTAGTTGTAATGATACTTATGACAGCGCAAGTGCCATCTCAAATATGGATGGGTTCCTAAATTAGGGCCATAATCACCACTAGCGTATAGGGACTAAATCATAATTTCCAAAATACATCTTCTGTAGAAGTTTATGAATTCGTGTGAACACCAAGGATTCAGATTTGTAAGAACCACTTTGAAAGTGATTTTAAAGTTTCAACAGCTGAAAAGATTTTCACACACTTTTCTACAACTTCAAACAGCATGTGAAAAATAAAAAGATTTGATGGATATGATTTTGAGTCTCTAGTATGATATGTAGTTACAGTGCATAATATTTTCATTGATGTAGGATATCACTAAAACGTATAGCAGAATTTCACTTGGAGACTCAAGCCTTTGCTCTATATTTATACCTGATTCTGGTACAGATTTCAGAGAAATAAAATCAGGAATTTATTAACTTTTTCACATCACTCAATTCTGACCATTTTCAACTCCACTGTGGATTTCCATAGGCAGTGAAAAGATAGTATTATGAAGTTTCTTTTTGAAGCTAAAGGAAAAAGAGTCTAATTATCTATGCAAATTGCAGAAGCAGTCTTGCAGGCTCTTAAAATATCCAACACATTTCAATTAGATGAATATATGCAAACCACTCTCTATAGAATATGTTCAGACCATAAAACTTTAGATGCCTAATTAAGGTGCTTTCAATTGCACTCAAGCGAGACACGTAAAACAGCCCAATGCAGTGTGAGAACTACTCCTCACTCATACAAGTACCCTTTAACCCACGTAATGTGATGACGTATGAAGAAACCTCAACCATTCAAAGAAGCAGTGGGTTAAAAAAGGAATATTTTTCAGTGTGACAGTAGCACTGTCACAAAATGGTATTCCCCTCTCACGAAATGCATGACGTGAGCCTTGAGGCATGGACTTCCCTTCACTTGTGTTGAGAACTAAAGCCCCCGCCGTCAGCGCCACTTGGTTCTTTGCTTGTGCCTTGGCTCTGCTCTGGGCTGCCCCAACAAACCCTGACTTGGACATATGGGCTATAAACTGGGCTCACCCGAACCACCTTGGATGTCAGTCAACAGCCATCACTTGGATGTTGGGCCAGGAATTGGTGCTTGGCCTCCTTTTACTTACAGCACAGGTACAGACCAAAATTCCCCCCAGTTGCCATTGTGGGTGTAATTTGCTATTGTACCTTCTACTTATGCTGGGCCTGTGTTGCTGATTCAGCACACCTACAGCTGCATAAAACCCGGGAAGACACAAAGGACAAGTTATGCCCGAGACACTTTACAAGAAGGGCATCCAGAGAAGCAAAAAACCTCAGCCTCACAAGATTTTTAAGTGCAGAGATGTCACTTAAGGACACAGCGGAAAAAATTATTCTGGTTTTCCATCAGTTTATATACTTGAGCCAAATCCACTGTTATTGTACCACAGTTTATTAGATTCACAGTTGTTACTTTTCACTTCAGTTGCTGTTTTTAGACTGTAATTCTTCTCATGTCACAAGAGTAAAATATTTATTTTACTTTAATACTATTCTAGAGTAAATAGGTGCTTAGTTCACTTTTCCACATTTTTATAAGATTTTTTTTCCCCGCTCGGCTGGTGCTTAGCCTCTAACAGAACTGCTTCTTTATCAGTCCACAGGATATTTAGGAAAAGTGAAAGCTGTACATATAAAAGTTTGACATACAAGAGGAACAATTAACCAATCCTACATAACTAATATTTTATTTAGACTGATTATTATGTAGACAGCAATGGCATAAATATTATGAGAAATTTTGAATTCCTAAGCCTCATTTAATTCTCATTATAGCACTATTGATAAACATGAAAAAAAAATCCCACCATTTGTGATGGAGTACTGGCCACATCTTCTGTGAAAACTCCATCTGCAAACTAATCCTCATGATTTAAGAATCACAGTGACAAAAGTAATTCCATCAAAATAATTTTAAACTACTTTTGGCACAAAACCCAAAGTGTCATTAATAACCAATTTTTGGTTTTACTGTAATTTGCCTCAAAGACAAATCATAATTATTTCTATCAGCATACTGAAAAGGACTAGAATCCTCCTGTTGAGCTAGAAGTTTTCATGGTTTGGTTTTTTTTTTTTAACAGAAAATAATTAACCACAGAGACTCTTCAAAGCTGAAGTTGTGGATACAATTTCAGAGCACACTGCTGCAATCTCAAGATACAGTGAAAAAGAGGAAAAAAGAAGCATTAAAAAGCATCAGTAAAGTGATCTCAGTTCAGTCTCCCAGATTAAAATTTATGTGAAACAGAAGCATAATTTCATCAAGTAATAAATTAAAAAGCAAAAAAAGCAATTAATTATTTCACTTTCAGAAACTTCAGATATATCCTATAAAAGTCACTTTTTAGTTGTAGTAAAAGAATCCCGTTGCTGCAACCAATAAACATTAGCTATACTTGAAGGACACGAAGTTGGACATGTAGAACATTGCCTTGTTAAAATATTTAACTCTTACTAGGGTCACATTAATCCCACTCAAGAATTTATATTCACAACAAGCATGACTACAAGAAATCACCACAATGTCACATTAAAAAAACACAGCATGTCTTGAAGAGAAACAGGTTGTTACCCTGATCGCTATGCAAATGTGAAACTGGGTAAGAGCGTGTTTTATGCTTACATCTTGCAAATGAGATTCTTTCTTCTTTGCTGACAAATTTAAGTGCTTCTCTAGGATGGAATAATATTTCTCACTTTCCTTGTCAAACTTCTTCTTCCCATCCTGAAAAATAAAACATCGCCAAGTAAAATACGTGACTAAACATCACAGCTAATTTAAGTTAAAAGAAAGAATAGGTGCTAAAATATGCCTGGTTCTAAAGCCATTTTTGTTGGTTTTAGGGTGTAATTCTGAATTGGGCCTGAAGATACTAGGTGGACTGATTCAATTATTAAACGCAATATTAAGCAGAATTTTTCCCACAAATAATAAATCTATGAAGAGACTCACACTGTTTCCAATAATAAATACACATGAGGTTTTATGTAGGTGGCATCTTGCTAAACAGACATTTAACGCAAAATAATCTTCCCCAAATTTTATAAATGTACCTACCTGTCACACTGTCTTTGCTGAATAAAAACATTGTGGAAGAGGCAAGCAAGCATAACAAATTTGATGATGATACAGACTTATCCTTTGCATTAAGGCTAATATGCTTATTTTCCACCCACACTCTCAAAATATGAGAATGATGGAAAAGCACGTATGTGGTTGCAAAAGGAAACTGGTCCAAAAGTCTGTTTCCAATAATATTTTTATGTGTCTCAATATTTAAGCTTGTCTCATTTAAAAGTGTTATCCTGCCTTTTTCCTTTCCCACTCCTCTTTTTTCCCATCACGTGCAGACAATCCTCAGATTAACACGGTAAGACTACTTTAATACATGAAAATACTAAAGACAGCTACTGTTATGAGTAAATGAAGAAAGATCTTATTTTCTGTAATCTAATTTAGAATTTATACTTCAAAATGTTTTTAATTAGCTATTCTGAAATTTAACAAAAAGCTTTCTCAAAAGCTTTTCCATGTTTCAAGAAGTGCCAAATTTCAGGAAAGAAGAGATTAATTGAAGTAAATATCCTATCAGAGTATTATTAAAGATAAAATGGTAATTTAAAATTATTAAACTATCATAATTAAAAGCAACTCTGCCAATGATTTTTGCAATCATAGCTAAATCCTAATGGTTCTTTCTAATAATTAAAAAGTTGAATATTTTTAGAAAAGAAAGAAAACTCAAGATGACCAATCCTACTTACACATGTGCAAAAGATATTGATGGTGGAAAAACTAATTACTGGACAGAGAGGGTGGTGAGGCACTGGAACAGGTTGCCCAGAGAAGCTGTGGATGCCCCATCCCTGGAAGTGTTCAAGGCCAGGCTGGATGTGGCTTTGAGCAACCTGGTCTAGTGGAAGGTGTCCCTGCCCATGGCAGGGGGGCTGGAACTAGATGATCTTTAAGGTCCCTTCCAACCCAAACCATTCTATGATTCCATGACATAATGCAGTAACATCGTCATCTTCAGAACTGTAGTGATTCTTTTTCTGACTTCTTTCTCCCTAGAAATTGTTATATACCAAACCAAGTAAGTAGCCTGCATTGTAGCACCAGACTGTTTTTCTTTGTCGTATCATGGGAAAGTCAGGTCAGTTAGAGAAATAAGGACTAAAAGTACTTATTTAAATCCATGAATGAAAACTTATCAACTAGCTGTAACAACAAGCCATTTACTGATTAGCTCCAGTGACTGAAGTTCACAATAGTTATAATACTAGATTAATAAACACATCATATACTTTCTATGCTGCAAAAAGTTCAATTATATTTGGTATGAAAAATATGCACAATTTAACAATCTCATTACCTTACAAAACACACCATATGTAAAAGAAGGCACTTGACCCAACAAAATACTAATTAACAATATAGAAAAATTCCCAATGCCTTCCATATTTAATTTCATCTATGCAGACATGAGGGAAAAAAGGAAAAAAAAAAAAATTGCATTTTGCCTAGCAAGGGAAAAGAAGTCATATGAATTATCTTCCAAAATATTTCACAAACACATTCTTAAAAGAGAGAGAGAAGGCAGAAAGCAGGCAGGGCTCTCCAAATGACTGATTAGCCAAGAAATCAACTTTTGTGTGACTGAAATAACATGTTGGTTCCACAGTTCTACTGGGGAATAATGAAGTGCCAGGTCTTCATGATCAAGCAAGAACAACATAACTATCTCAACATCTCCTTTGGTCACAGAAATTCAGTTCAGCTGATCACACACCACAGATATGTTATCTTTTTTGAATAAAAAGTGCAGTCAGTTGCATACTGTCTTATCTTCTGAGATAATAATGATACAGTGCTGGACTAAAAAAAAAAAATGAACTGGATTGTTTTAAAATCCACGTAACATAGGTGGCAAAGTCACCATCGAGGAAGTCCTCAAGTCACAAACTGAACTGACGCAATCAAAAATGCAAAGATAATTACAAGAGATGCAAGAGTCTGAAGTCTAAGCTGCTTGGTGAGCATCAGAGAAATACATGAAAATGGGACTTGGCCACCTGAAATTGCTCCTTTTCTATCATACAGCATGTCAAACGCACATCAATGCCAAGAGAGATCCATTTACACAGCTAATGGGGCTCCCAATGCGCCAAATCCAGCCACTTACATTTTGTGGTAACATCTGCAACAAAACCTGTGAATTACATTAGCTCTTCCCTTTATATGTAAAAAGGAAAATAAAGAAAGTAAATGATCACATCTAAACAGATAATACTTCCCCAAGAACAAGAAAAATAAGAATTCAAATAATCTAATTGTTGTTGCAAGGCACCTTGTATCTCATGTGAAGTTTCACAAAGACCTTTGTGGCACCACCTGTGATGACATGCAGAATCTGATGGCTCTCTTGGCACTGCCGGACCCCTCCCAGAATGCCCCTCTCTTCTCTACAAGATCAGGTCAAACCACCACCCTCACAGCTTTTACACCAGTTAAGAGAAAACTAACAGCTTGGAGCTTCCTTGATACCAGGACAACTTCTGGCACAAGCACAGTGTTTCCAGGTTTCACAACCTGTGAACTTCTTCATTTTTTCCCAGGTTTTAACATAAGAAAATTCCTCCATATAAAGACAGAAGTGGACAAAGTAAGAAGAATAAATAGAAGCAGACTAAGAATAAAGAACACTTGCGGTTTTGACTGACTTAGTGTCTCTACTCAGGGATACTTCTGGGAATAAGGCTGCAGTGCCAGCAGGACAGTGTTTCTGGCACTGTACTGATCACTCAGACATGTTTCTGGGAAAAGTCTAAAAAATACTGGCCCTCATAGGTGAGTGAGTTCCCTCGCTTGAAAGGTCCTCTGCTATGCCAGTAAAAACCAAATGTTTGAATGTGCTGAAGCCCCAAGAACTGTTTACTTCATAAAAATTAACAAAAAAAGACAGACTCAGAAGCAGGTGATTCATTTTCTGGAAGAGAAGAAACTCTTCAGTTTATGCCAAGATAATTCTCACCTCGCACATGCAGCCGGTGACTCACAGCACACAGGCGCATCCTAAATGGAGTCACAGACTTACTCCATTCCAGCTTTAGCCTTTTCTTCTGCAACCCTCCAAACACTCTTATACACAGCTGCTGCCCAAATTAATCATCTGAATCCTGGTCCCAGCAATCTGTTCCCATGAGACTGAGAATCCTGCTTTTCCACATGCCAGGAGGTTTACAAAGAAAGTTTCCATGCGAAACTCTCTCCTCAAAGCCTAGGAGACAGAGATTGCCTCTGCCTCTACATACCACGCTGGCTCAAACCCCAAGGAGAAGAGAGATGTGGTTGCATAGAAAAGCTCGTGCTGTGTCATTACTGGGACAGCACCAGTTATAAAACAAAGCATAAGGTACGCGGCCATAGGAAGATGCCGTTCTGACCTCTGCACTGTCTCTTGTTCCCTTAAGCCTCCAGCTACCTTTCTTCCTTGAAGGCCCTTCCTGCAAGTCAGCCTCATCCTTTCTCTTTGCCCTGGAAACTTATTAATAATTTCTGTCAAAATATCAGCTAGAACATACGAAAAACCACATGAGAAAATTAAGAGGGTACAATTAAAAGAAATCTAAACACAAAAAAAGAGAACTTACAAAATGCTAATCCTTGATGTATTTTACACTGATGTGTAAGTCATCAATACCTTTTGTGCATATCACGTTCTGAAGACTCTAAGCACTGTAAACGGCTCTCTAGAGTTCTGTCAGAATTCTGAGGTGGGTCAGGACACTGAGCCTTAAATCAGTCCAAAAATATTTACATTTACCAATGCTTCAAAATTCTATCAACCCCATTAGGAAAGCCCTTACCCAAACGCTCGGCTTCTAGCATGTAAGTCTTTCACTGACTTCCAGTGCCCTCTTGAGAGAGTGACGTCATGTAATACCACCCTTCGTGGAGAGGGTGGTGAAGCACTGGAACAGGTTGCCCAGAGAAGCTGTGGATGCCCCATCCCTGGAAGTGTTCAAGGCCAGGCTGGATGAGGCTTTGAGCAACCTGGTCTAGTGGAAGGTGTCCCTGCTCATGGCAGGGGAGTTGGGACTAGATGATCTTTAAGGCCCCTTCCAACCCAAACCATTCCATGATTCTATGAATACCAGATCCAGGTTTAATACCTGGTTTTGTTCTCTCTGCTTAGTTTTCCCCTACAGTTTTATTTCAAAACCCATTAGACAATTTCCAAAAAAGATAATTTTGTCTTTTCAGAAATAAATTTTATTCAAGATCCCACTAATTATAGATATGCCTCTTCGAAGGTTAAGTCAAAAGATGTTCTATCCATCTTGTTTTACAGATATGTACGGCTGTGCAAAGATCTGACATTGATTATTAAAAAGATGACTCAACTGAGTCAGATGATTTTTTTTCTGTTCAGAAATATTTTGATTCCATGCTGTAACTAATCATATGCATGCAACAAATTGCTGGCATAATTCCTACAAATTTTAACCACAAGTTGTATGTTTGGATGTAAAGCAGAAAGAGCTATATTTTGAAGCTGACTTGTTTTTTCAAGTGTGAAAATAAAGAAATTGGACATTTTTTAAGCGGTATAAGTATGCTGCTACTTTGTGTGCAGTATTTAGTGTTAAAGTTGCTCTATTATCTTCAGGAATATTATATAAATATTCCTCTTTATTTTTCATGAAGAGCCTTTGCCATTCTTC